GTGGCCTGTGTTCGTCGTCCATAACATACGCCTGCCCATACCATAACCCCACCACCACCATGGGCCACTCGATTCCCAACATTACCCTAACCCTAACCCTAACCCTAATCCTAACCCTCACACCAGATACTGACTGGTTTTCGGACCCCCCCAGACCCCCCCAATAAAGCAAAAATGCACGTTTCAGAGTGGCCTTTTATTGTGGCCAGCCTAAGGCACACCTGTGCAATAATCATGCTGTCTAATCAGCACCTTGATATGCCACACCTGTGAGGTGGGATGGATTATCTTGGCAAAGGAGAAGTGCTCGCTATCATAGATTTTTATTTGTGAACAATATTTGAGAGAAATGGTTATTTTGTGTATGTAGAAAATGTTTTAGATCTTTGAGTTCATCTCATGAAAAATGGGAGCAAAAACAAAAGTGTTGCGTTTATATTTTTGTTCAGTGTATATAATAAAACGTTAGAGAGCACTTTCTGAAACAAAAATATTTTCTTTAATTTAATTTCTCTGCCTGACAGTTATCACAGGTTCCCATAAAGCTGCAGTCTCATCTGCAGTCACACGTGTTGAGCTCCTTGTTGAGAGTTACCGGAAGAAGCAACCTTTCACACATTTCCTGTCATTCCCTTTGAGTAATCCCAAAATCCAAGAAGGATTCCTGACCTTTAAAGACGAGGTGTTGAAGCAGTGCTCACAGGTACTGTAGAAGGAAACCTACATGTTGCAATGATGAGGGGCAAGGGCGGTGTCTTGTCTAAGATCAGCACATTATATCCTCAATACATTCTGTATTTACAAATCTTTTTTACTTTATGTGTAGGATCATGGAGTTGAGGGGAGCATCTTTCAGAACCCTGCAAAGCTTCACATGACAATCGGCACCCTTGCTCTGTTAAATGAGACAGAAGTGAGAAAAGCATGTGAACACCTCCAACAGTGTCAACACTTTATCCGGTAAGGGCAAAACAAGTTGTGTGACTGTGACAAAAACAAAAAAACACAGTTATTTTGGAATACTGTTGGGAAACAAAAACAACATATACTGCTTTAAGGCATAATCTAGGAACAGATTATATTTAAAATGTTGTTAACAAAGCCCATTTAAACTAGCAATGAGCTGATCCTACACACACAAGTATTGTTGCTGTAACCAAAGCCTGAAATAAGTTGTTCCTTTTATGCCATAGAAACAAACGCACATCAAACACAAATAGTGAACCACACTGTTGTCCTTGGTGTCCCTTCATTACTAACAAAGTGTGGACTGTAGTTTATTTTTTGTCAAACCTGAATATACCATTTCGCTGCTGTTAATACTTACTAGGGCACCAAATCCATAGCAGAAAATAGTCCCCAACAAATATGGTGTGTACTGTAGGGCTGCTCAATGAATCGTATTTTAATCGCAATTACGACTTTGGCTTGCAACGATTATGAAAACAACATAATCGAAATAAAACGATTATTTTTTTATTTTCTTTATTATTATTTATTTTAAAAAAAAAATATAAATTATTTTTTGTATTGGTTTTTCAATTGAATTATACTTAAAGATCAGGGTAATCAACTGTTAAAAACATACTACGCCTTTTTTCTTTCAATAAGTTGATATTTTTTAAAGTAAATGGATAATCGTTTTTAATAATCGTGATATCAATTATTGACCCAAATAATCGAGGTTATGATTTTGGCCATAATCGAGCAGCCCTAGTGTACTGTAACATATGCTTAATCTACTTGGCCGACCTGTTATAAGAAATAATGGAACCTTAAAGAAGAAAGAAAGTGTAAATTTGTGACCCACTTTTAAGTATTCGTATCTTAGTAGTAACAAAGGGAATCTGGGCCACAGAATGGTTGGAGCAGATTACATAATAATGATTAGATTAGTTAGAATAACAAGTGAACTCGCATAACCAACACAAATAATAGATTAGATTCCAGCACAGTATTACAAATAGACCATTGTATTCCAGTTTATTGCTTGCTCAACATTTAGGGTCTGAAAAATGTGCCAGGTGGGTCACAATTCTTTTTTTTTTTTTGCTGTCCGCCATCAGGGACATCACAGAAGGAAACCCTCTGGCGTTGGAGGTGACGGGCATAGAGTACATGAATGATGACCCGGGCATGGTGGATGTATTGTATGCCAAAGTCAACGCGAAAGACAAATCTGACAAGTAAGTGGATCAATAACAAATCCTATGGAGAAAATAATATTTGTGATCAAATAATGTATTTTTATTTTTATAACAAAGAGATGGACACATACAATCAACCATTCAGCAATGAATTAAAGTAATACAAAACACATGTATTATATATATTGTATAATGTATTTTTCTCTTATATTACAAAAAGTACACGTTTATTTTTTTACAGACATCCACACACATCCCACAACCTACGCTAAAGACAGAAAAATAAATGATATAGAAATACGTACTCATATACTGCATTATTACATACATACATATCTGTCTGCAGTAAAAAACATGAAATGTAAATGTTTCTGATACAAGAAACATTTTCTTCAACTTCAAAGAAGCTGAAAAATGAACAGAGCCAGACGCAATAAATACAAATATCCTGTGAAAAAATAAATACATGGACAAAATTGACATGTCATATTTTTTTAATGTATTTCTGCTCTTCAGGTTGCAGCTGATCGCGGACCGGCTGGTGGAGCACTTTGTCTCCGCAGGGTTGATGGTGAGAGAGTGGGACAGAGTGAAGCTGCACGGCACCGTCATTAACACTCTGTTCAGAAAGGACTCAGGTAGAGACATTACATGCGAGCAGTATATTTGCCAGTAGTTGTTGATCTGTTGTGTGACCACATTGATAGCTCTTTCCCTCACCCTATTTGCCAATGTCCCCTGGAGTGGAGTGACGAAAACGCTGAATCCTTTAACAACTGCAACAACAAATTCCTTAATATACCCGACAGGCAGCCAGATCTCTGTTTGGCTACAGCTCTGTTGACGTGCGCCAAGCGGCCGTGTTTTCCAAGTATTTTGACAATGGCTTCATTCAGTTTGGCCATGGATAAAGACCAGCCCCAGTTCTCAAATTTGCACTGAGCTGACCAACAACACAGCACAAGGGAGGGGGGCCTGTCACTGCTGATCGTGTTTGCCAGACGATTAACATTCAGTGTTTATTTCTTCTCCTTAGTCCCTGTGTCACAACTGAATGCCCTTGATTGTCACCTTGTTATTGCTACACTGTAGCAGCAACTTAATGACATAAGTTATTTGTTTTCTTTGTTCAGTGCTGCACTGTTTAGCTTGTCTTTTACACTCTGGTGTTTTTCAGTCGAAGAAGCGGGCGGCCCAGGGAGACAAACCATGAGTGAACGAGAGGCTTTTGATGCCAGAAACATATTAAAGGTTAGAGGAAACTCACTCCTTCCTGCACCTTCAAATACTGCAGCATTAGAAACATCCAGACCTGTGCTCACTGCTTCACTGATGTCAATACCAGATGCCATTACACATGGAGATTTAGAAGGTTTTTTTTATAGGCCCGATGAAAGATTGCCTGTCAATAGTCCAGATATTCAACCCCAAAAGGAACATTTCATGATAAAAAAAAACACAGTTCTTCTTGCATTTCATTGGTGCCACGTTTGACTACAGCAAAAACTGTAACAAAAAAAGTAAGTTTAGGTAAGGTTTACTTAAAAATGCACATGTTTGGGAAATAGTGAACTGGATAAATGAGGCTTGGATTATTTGTGTGTGAAAGTTGGTAAGCGGTTGTTTTACTGTTGTTTTGAAGACAGCTCCCATTTACTAAAGCAATCATTTTCCTAATGTTTTTGGATCATTCGTTCACCGTTCAGGTATGCATGAGAAACAAGGTTTTATTCTCAAATTCAAGGTAATGTGGGATGAGAACTTGATCGTTTTGGCAGTAAAGTACTCTTCAAAAGACATTTAGATAAAATAATTGTGGTTCAATTCGTAAAAAAATGGGTAAAGTAAACTTCTGAATGCTTTATTTAGACCTTGCACCATACAACTGTTGCAACACTGTGCTAACATTCAACACACTGTTTGAATGTTTTTAACGGCTGTTGACATTTCAACTGCTTCTGGAGTTGCATTTGGATATGAGAGCTTATTAATAGGCCTTTCAAAAAGAGGGATTATGGTTTTTGCAGGGGAACATTTGAATACCACTCTAGCATGCACAAAGGGTAATAGAGTTCATTTTAGTGCCGACTCACCCCTACCCATCGTAATGGTGTTTTGATTTCAGGCTGGTATTAAATGATTATGTTCCCAGGCCAGCTGCAAAATGTAATTAGCTCACCTGATTGACTTAGAAGCCAGTTAGAAGTTCCCTATTTCAAATCAATTTTTTAGTTTTTAAATCTCCAGTCCTGTTATCTTCAATATATGATACTCAGTTTTAGTTGGAACATTTATATAGTAAGGCCTATATAAATGTTTATTTATAGCAGACGTTTTGACTTGATACTGTAGCAAAAGCACAGGTGTTACAAATAAGGCTCTGTTATGTTCTACAATAAGCTGTGACAGTGATCAAGCATTCACAATACAAAGACCCTGAACCTGATGAAGCTAAGTGGAAATCAGCCATCTTTTATTTCTTGTTGTGGGTTTTTGTCCTCTGGTGTGGAACAGGAAACATCGTATTGCATAGATGTGTATAAACATGTGAAGAAGTGATCAAAAATGGTCTCGGCTACACGTGTATATTTATACTGCTCTTCTCAAAACAAATGTACAAAGTGTGTGTGCGCCTGTGCTTATAATAATAATAATACATTTTATTTATATAGCGCTTTTCATAACTCAAAGACGCTTTACAGTATGAGTGTAGGAGCCAATTAACATCTGTGGGTATAAAGGTAGGAACCTATGTTTGGTGGGAGGGTGAGAGGTTCCGCCGGAAGGCCATACAGTTTTTGACCACACACGGAGAGCACACACACGGAGAACACACACACACACACACACACACGGAGCACACACACACACACGGAGCACACACACACACAAACACAAACACGGGATTACAAGCAAAGCAAAGGTATTGTGTAAACGGTAATATCGTGTGGTGAATATGGAAAGAAGCAAGTAAAATGGATACCAGTAAAATGGAAATAAATGGACTGTTTCAAACTGGAAACTTTGTTTCTGACCTTTCTTCGGCAGCAAACTTGTCTGCGTCAATTACACCCACCAAGCGGATCCTCAGAGGCTTAAAGTGTTGGCTTAGCCTCTACAATGAGGGAGGGTAGACAAACAAGCACAGGCAAACAAATAAATATAGTAAAATAAAATAAACAAAAAATAATAATGATGTGCCGTCATTGTGCTCATGTGTCAATCTTTCCTTTTTGTTTTCTTTTAATGCCATCAACATGCCAGGGACTGCAGATGGAAATTAGCTTTATTGGCTAAATCTGCCACATTTACAAGATGGACTCAAAGGCTCATGTTCATTAATGTGCATCATTGTCCTTTCTTAAAAAAAAATAAACAATAGTTATAATGCAGCTTACAATTACAAAAATTGTCAGAAAGATTTGTTATATGTTTCCCTTTGTATGTTTTCAGATGTTTATTCCCTCAGTACTGGTTTAAGATTTGTAACATTTAACAAACCAAGCTAAAATATAAGGTGCTAAAAAATGTATTCGGTGGAGAGATGTACTGCTCCAGAGTATATTGATTAAAGCTGTTATGTGAAAGAAGAAGAGCGTTCCTTTTTAAAGCTCAAAGAGGAGGGTTTGGATTGATTTTTATTTTATTTTGTGAGCAGCACTTGTGGTTTCTTTGTGTGTGACGACGACTGAAATGTGACACCCAGTTGAATCTGCAGATAAAAACAGCTTCAAAATCACCTTCCCTCCACTGTGGTGCAGACAGTATGTTTGTTTGAATTACAAAACCCTTCATTTTATTTTCTCTGAAAATGACACAAGGGTGCTGCTTACCACTCTCACTTGCACAGTAACCATGGTAACGCCATGTTTGTGAGTGACAGAGTTTAACGAGTAAGGTCAACTCTTCAAGCAAAGTGCTTACTATCTAAATCATTGAGAGTTGGGATTACTTTTTTAAAAATCTGGGAATATGGTTTTATAATGGTGTTGAGGCTTTGTATTGTATACGTTTATATTTCATAATTTGAAGACGTTTTCTGTTTTTCATTACAGAAATTTGGTGCTTATCGTTTTGGAGAGTTTGGGTTGAATACGGTGCTGCTGTCCCAGAGATATTCCTCAGACTGTACGGGCTACTACACCTCTGCAGGGAGCGCCAACTTCTCATGAGCTTCAACACCAGGGGTGGGGAACCTTTTTCCTCTCAAGGGCCATTTACATTTTTACAACATCCTCCGAGGGCCGTACAAATTATTGGCCTCTGCTTAAAAATACTAAAATCACAGCCCATTCATTTGGCCTTTCTTTCATGCTGTGCAAAGAAAAAGCAACCTCTTAATCCAGATATTTTACCAAGACTCACGCATGCATGCACGTGCACGGTTGTGGCATGACCACCAAAACAGAAAGATATGGACACAAGATGCGTGCAAATGTATTTAGTTTCCTATCCATGTGAACATGATTTAAGTAAGGGGGGGGGACCTAACCTCCTCTAGGGAAAAAAAAAAAATCTTCCCTGGGGAGCATGCCCCCATTTTTTTAAATGTTGAAGTCAAAAGCATCAATCTGGTGCACTTTGAGAGCAACATGAAGAGATCTATGGATACCCTCTCAACACCCATATGAAACAGAACTGTAAGCAGATTTATTTTTCTTTATGAATACTTTACAAATCACTCCCCTTTCAAACTGTATTCTTTCTTGTTTATTAATAACAACTTTTTTTTTTACTGTCATATAGTATTTTATACCTGTTTACTTTATTCTCTTATTTTTTTATAACTATAATGATCATATAAAGATGTGCCTTTACCTCACTGGTTGTAGAAAAAGCTTATATTCGTTAGCATAGCTAGCTAACCAGATGCTAATAACAACAAAGTTATTGACAGTATGATCAGTATGACAGATGAACAGATCGCCACTGGGCTTACAACTAAGCTCCTTATGGCTCCTTATGGGTACTGCAATTTGTGAAAGTGCCGGAGCGACGTTCTGGTGCTCCCCAGCAGAACTGCACCCCTGTCAGAGACGAGACATAGACCACGTTAGGCTTTTGTTGTGTTCAAGGACCCTCACCTTGGCCAGGAAAAACAGGCACTCGCTTGTTTAATTTCTTTAATTGTTTTCTTTTTTGCGTGTGTTTATAAATTACCTCGAGGGCCGTACCAATTGGTCTCGCGTGCCGTATACGGCCCGGGGGTTCCCCACCCCTGTTCTACACGGACGAGCATTTTCTGAGGTGGGAAATTCAAAATTCAAAACCTTTTTGGTTAGCTGAAGCTGTTATAATGGCAGTGTCCAGTAGGTGGCAGCAAAGATCTTTTTTTGTTTCTCCAAGTGCCTCCTTCCACCTATCTATTTGAATCAAATTATTTGTTTCCTAAAACTCTATGGGAGCAATTTATGCAGGAAAAACTAAAATGATCACAAGTTCAGAATGATTGAAATGATCAAGCATTTAGATATGAAACACGCTCTCAAATTATTTGAAAGGCTCGATAGTCAAATCTTTTATTTGGTTCTCTTCAGGGAGTTTGAGGCAAATGACATCAAAGTAAACGATAAATGGGTTTTTCAATGGAACAGACGATCAAAAAGAAACATGACAAAAGCAGAAATCAACATTAAAAAAATCTCTGCCTTGACCATTGTATGTATGAGGATTTGTTCTTCACAATGGATAGTTTTTATTTAGTATCACTGTACCAGTAGAATAATGTTACCTTGTGGGCAAAACTGTTATCATAGAGGAGGAGATGATGCCTTTGTGTGTGTGAATTTGGACTGTTGAAGATCTAAAGCAGCTAAATGTTTGTTCAAATAGTTGTGGATCCGGTTATATTTCCAGGGCTATCAGGGTAGATTTTTGTAAAGCTGGGACCAATTTCTATAAAAGGGACATTTTGATGAACATAGTGCTTAATGTAACCAATTACATTTCCCCAGGTATTGCACATAAGGACCATTTTGAGAAACAGAGGCAGATATTGTACTTTTTACTCCACTACATTCGTTGTGTGGGAATAGTGACTTTGCATTGTCATATTTTACATACACAACTGATTTAAGAATGTTCATACAATTAAATATTGTTATTGAGGAAACCAGCCAGCAGTATATTAAGTAAAACTTAGCTCCACCTTGAGTAGCTATGCTGCTAACACACTAGTCTACATTTCACAGACAATGCTTCATTTACATTTTGGAGCCATGACATCAGGACTTCTTTAAACTTACCGAAAGGATCTTCTTCCTGTTTGAACTTTTACTTGTCGTCACCTGGTAAGTATCAACATCCAAATACAGTGCTACCCTACTTTCTGTCAAAATGTGCCTACATGTCCATTCTTGTGAGATTATTGCCTGGTACATCTTGTATACATCCAGTTTGAAAGTCAGTTCTAATGGCATTTTCTGAATAATGTGATGATTCCTGCTGCGCCGTGACAGCTGCTATAGCTGGTCAAAGTTTTTTTTCAACCGCTTTTCAGCCAATCATTTTGAGAAACTCAGAAAGTTTCAAAGTAAACACCGTGTACCAAACTAGAAAACTTTCATAGCTGTTCTGAAAGGTTCTGTTTTCACACTGATCATAAGCAAGTTCTACCGATTTCCTTTCATCTCTCTGCCTCATGAATGTGCTAATGCGTCACAGACATGATTTATTGCACCAGGTTTTTTTTCTTCCTCCATCTTTCTTATCAGTGCCCTCCCCTGACGAAGCCACAACCTTGTTCCCACTCCCGTCTGTCGAATGTGTCAGCGAATACAGACATCGGACACAGAGCCTCTTGCTCTCCACGTCAGAGTTTTTTTTTTTCAGCCTTCCCCTCAGCTGCCGATGTGCTCTGCTTGGCATGCAGAAGGGCGATCGCAGCGCAGCCAAAGTTACACTGATGGAAAGTGAGGGTGCTTTTTGTTTGTCAGCTCTGCCATCCCATGCTGTCCACCCTCCCCTGTTCCCCTGGAGCCATGTCAACAGACGCCATTAGAAAGGGACATGCAAATTGAGTCAGCCAGCAGAGCCGTCCGTGCACTTACTGTGCCACTGTCTGGGTCTAAAATGTATCTTTCTAGACTCAAGGGAGGCACCTAATTATCCACTTCCTGTCTCCTGAGAGCATGCTTGTTAGTGGGTCAGGAGTACACATCCAGCATAACGCCACTCTCTCTCAGGTAACAGATACGGTGAGGATTCTGCCAATAGTATTGCTCACACAGAGAGGGAGAGAAGAGGATTTGTAAGTTAATAGAATTCATTGAGAATATGCATTCTTGTTTCTTTTGGCAGGGACATGATTTAGGATGTGCTGGCCAGATGTCTTCACTAATGATCACACTGAAAACCCTGGAGGTAACATCCTACATCGGACATATTCCATTTGACAGATTTCTATATAAGATGTTTGGGGTTTCTGTTTATTTAAATCACCATGCTTGTGTTTTGATGCATTTGAGTAGGAATATATCGGACGAGGGGTGCGATAGCTGAATACTTCTCAATAATAGTGAATATTTCCTCAATTTTTTTATAACAATCATTTAGTACTATAATATGTGAAATGGAACATGGTCGAAATGAGCATTTAACGACAAAATTAACAATTTATGAACTGTTCATAACTCACATAGTCAAATTATGAGCATATAATGACATTTTTAAACAACATGCTAATTGGCACCGATTAAAACTTCTCATAGACATAATTTAAATTATTACAGCTTTTGTTTTTACTATTTTGTCATTCATTAGGTTTTAATTACAACACGTATATCTGCATTATACCTACAATCATTGATGGCGTAAAGCAACGTTTTTAAATCCCTTGTTTTGTCGAATTAACAGCCTAAAACCCATAGAAATTTCAATCTACGACGATATACAACAGAACAATGAAAGATTCTTACATTTGAGAGGCTTCCTTAGTTGATCATATACATTTAAGTCACATACAATAAATGTAACAAAAGTACATACATAATAGTACATACACTTTTTGTTTGTTTTCCACAGATGTATCTTTGTTGGGGGGTAAAAGCATTGACTTAACCAAATCATGCTGCTACCGTATGTTGTCTGTGTGGGTGAGTTTGCTTACGCACTGCCCGACGAGTACATCTTTTTTCTGTCCCCGCCACATTTCTCACCCTAATTAGTCATCTCCGTGCTTCCTGCTGTGGGAACGTCCCACCGGACCCTTGAGATGTCGAGACTAGCATACCTCCCTTTCAATAAGACAGATTAATGAGACCTCTGTGTCTGTTTGTGTTCCTGCATACCTTTTTCCTCTGTGGATCCGCATCCTTATTTTTGAAAGATCTGAGGAGACACGGGAGCTGGCTTTCAATTAAAAATGTTAACTAAGGATCAAGTTACTTTTTCAGCATCTGTGTATGTTTTTGTTTACATGCATTCATAAGTCAAATAGTCTTTATGAGTAGAAAAGGCTAAAGGCACAGAAAACAAGCCCTTGCAAAGTACAACCAGTTGTTAAAAAACTCACATTACTATTTTTCCCTCATGTTAAAGGAAGAGAAATAAAGGGCAGCCATTTTGAAACAAGTGAAAGCAAAGCAATCTCCTAGGTGAGCCCTGTTAAACTTACAGTGAACCTTTTATAATGAGAATTCACGCGTGTTGTTAACGGAAATCTTGTGTAACCTCAACCAAGCATTGTTTAGGCCTCCATCTAATTTGCATATTGAATTTCATTCAAGTTCCAAATGAGCCTTTTTTATGCAAAAGCTGTTGGAAATAGGTCTTACTTGATCAATATCAACCTTTTTTTTCTGCACATTTAGCTTTTTGGTTCTCATAACGGGTGTTTCAAAACGTTCATTCAGAGCGCTGGAAAAAAGATATATGTTTGACAGACGTGACCTTTTTTAAAAGAGTAGATATGTTCGATTTGTTAGCTCTGAGTAATAGCCCTCATGAAATCGATTGAGCTCTCTAAAGCACGAGGGTTGATCAGGTTCATAGAATATTAAAATCCAAATCCAATTAACTGAAAGTGTGAGTTTGACAGCAGGAAGCTGCTCAGATGACATTTCAGTAGGTAGCTTTGTATTCCTGGTGTCATGTTTTCACCTTAACAAGCTTGAATCCTTAGATTATTTAAAGGAGATCTTTTGATGGATCAAACACGTCTATCCAGGAGAAGTTACAAAGGTGCTATATTACTCGTCCCGCTCGACAAAGCAGGCACATCTTTCAAATTGGATATTGTTAGTGGTGATATACGCCAGCCCGCCTCCCTTTGATTGTGCTCTCATGTTGGATGTGACTCCAGCTGAGTGTCAGTGCCGTTTGAATGTCACACTAATCATTCTGTCACTAATGGGCATGAGCGGTCCTGATGGACAGCCAGGGCGAGAGTATTTGAAATGTCTAATTTGCGTCTCCTGCGAGGAGGCAGGTGATCCCTGCTGCAGCCCTTTATCATTCAGAGTGCAGCTGTCCACGTCTGTTGATGCTGGAGGCATTCACACAGGAGCAGAGGCACAAAGCCCAGTGTGTTTGAACAGCAGGTAGTCATTCAGAGCTGTTGTTTACTCCCTGTACACTTTGCACAACAACACATTTCCATTATCCCTTCATCTCTGTTACTTTGTCCTGATAATTGTCTGATGAATAAATGTCAGAAAATATTGAAATATGACCAACAATTCAGCATAACCCTAGATGAAATGTTAAAAATGCTTGTTTAGTTTATTCGTTTCGTTGCAATGTTTATTGTCATATCTAATATGTTATTTCCAGTTGTATACTTCTGAAAATGTTTTTTTAAGTTTGTTGCACAGGAACATATTATTATCTGGAAACAAAACACCACCACACTTAAGCAGGTCGGCATATTAGCGTCATTACACTTATTTAGGCACTGCACTTCAGAAACTGCTAGGAAAAAATGTCACTGAGAGCTGCAATTTCTCGTATTTGAGGAGCTGGAACTAGTTAATATTTGACATGTTTACTTTACACATTTATTAAATGATTAACTGTTAAATTAAATTAGAGTCATTGGGGAGTGAATACATTTCCCAATAACACTTAAAATAAGTGTATTTAGTATTGCCAACTTAAAGGGGACCTATCATGCAAAATGCACTTTTGTACGTCTTTTTATACATGAATATGTTTCCCCTGTGTGTCAGGGAACTCACCAAGTGTCAGAAAACACAACCCTCTCTCTTTTCCTCCATACCCAAATCTCTAAAAACGGGGCTGCAACGGATCTGATACAGACTGATCCAGATTTGAAATTGTTCTGACATCAGAAACGGGTTGCTCCGCCTATATGGGCAACTCTCCACCTATCAGGGGAATGAGAGGTTGCGTGGCATGGTAACAGCATGGGAACAACATGGTTACATGACGCTCGTGCCTCGCCCCCCTCCTTTGTAGGGGGGCGTGGTCAGCTACAGCCCATTTGCCACAGAATCAGCCCTTGTCAAGACAGGGCTGGAATAGAGCGAAATGAGGGATGGCTAAAATGCATGATCTGTTTGGTATTTTTGAAAAAAAAACTTCACAGACATGTTTTATATAGGTATGGCCCTACAATATATTATTCAAATATAGCATGATAGGTCCACTTTAAGGATTGAGGAGGTTGGATGAGGATCTTTGTTTGAATTTGAAATTATTCAAGTGAAGAAATGAAAGCAGCATTACTTGATTTTCTGTCAGCTTGGGGGCAAACCAAGCTGTAAACCGAACGTATCACAACTACGATATTATAGAGAATTTGTTAGCTACATTCCCGAATAAGTATAGAGGGAGAAGCATTTCCATTCTTCTGGAGTCTTGTTTCTGGCCTTTTCTCACCTTACAAATACAAGTCCAATATCCCTCTCTTTTTATCTCAGATTTTAACTCCTCCAAAACTCATGAGGGACACACTGGCTCTTTAGCAGCTAAACGCTCCATACCTTCACCAGCTAGTCGCTAACACCTTGATCGATGCAGGTTTAATATGCAGACATTGAGCTTCACTGCTGTAAACTAACTCTGTCGGATACTGTAAACAAATCCTTTGTTTTCTCCATCCCCTCCAAAGTCTTTCAGATCCAGTCACACAGCCCTTAATGCTGTTATTTATTGGTAGGATGTAGAGTAGCGAAACTGATGGGGATTTGTCATTTCTAGTGACTAGTATAAGCTGGATATGCAGACTGAAAATAAATAATCTTTGAGACTGAGTGTCAGGGTTCAGAATATTTGCCAGCTTCTGTCTTTTGTGTTCATTTAATTGAAAAGTTGTTACGCTCTGTTCCACCCATGCTGCAGCAGCCTGCAGTGAAAAACAGCACCTACCCTGCTTTCCCTGCAAATGCAAACTGCTCTCAGACTGCTCTCAACTAACTCTGCACTTATAATAGCTGTGTGACCCAGTTTGAGTTCAATTGAATTAGATCTATACGCGTTTAAAGCAGCTCCACTTACAGCTGTAAGTCACTCGAGATTACTTATTAAATGCCTACCGCTGTGGTTTATTCTTTCCTGAACTTTCAAAATCACTTATTTTGATGGTTCTCCCACCCAGGAACGTGCTTTCAGGCTCCATTTTCTCTTCATGCACCGTCACTTTGCAGTGGTAGCCCCGTTCACAGAAGTAACTGCAAACAAGCACTGGGGGCTGTTGTAGAAGAAATTCAGAAGCAGAAAGGGGTTTGTTTTATTGTGTCATCAATGTTTAATACATTTTGGTACAGGATTGTGCTTAAAAATAACAACATACAGATGGAACATACTCAAGTTAATTACAAAAAATAATATAAAGGATATGACTCGATGCATCAAAGAATCTTAACACACTGAGATGTATAAAGTTGTACTAATTATATTGTGTATATTAGTGTTTGTTTTAATACTGTTACTAATTATTTGAAAACTGTCATCTAACCCCTTCTGTCATTAGTCAGATTATTCAATACATTCATAGAGAGAAATCACTCAACAATATCGGATTTATCGTTTTAGCCATTTATCAAACACGTCAAACCTTCATTTGTTGCAGCTTTTCAACTGTGAGGATTATCCGCTTTAGTTTGATTTATATCATTGAAAATTGAAATGTTTTGGGTATTGGAATGTTGGTCAGACAACACGGCCAAATATGGCTCCTTGGATAATTTCCCCTGTTTTCTGACATTTCATAGACTAAATAACATATTGTTCTATCAGTCAACACAGTTACTGTAGATTAAAAATAACCATTACTTGAAGTCCTAGTATAGTAAATATGAAACCCTGATTTCTTGTTGTTGCAGGTCATGGATAAACACGGCAGCAGCATGAAGCAACTCTCTGTCGGGAGCGAAGCATTGTGGGAAACACCAGATGATGAACATGAATGGACTTACAACAGCGTGTCTTTGCATCCTAGCTGATTTTTTCAGTTGGAAAATGAACATTTGTTGGGGTTATGTTTTCCTTCATGCTGGAAGAGGTGCTCCATTTGAACATTCTGGCAGGAATAAATAAATGTGCAAAGCATCCACCCTTGGCCTGTTGCAATTAATTGTTGTAGTTCCAGAAGCGATCCTGGCGTAGTTGTTACATCACGTGAGAATATGTACAGCCTCGATAAGCAGCGGAGGCTTATTCGTAAGACACAGAAGGCATGTGTTTACATTTGTACACAGCTAATATTTATAGATAAGCAAACCCCTCTACGTGTTTCTACAAGCTGTCATGTCTGATGTTATTCAAATTAAGCTTTCCTCCCCCCGACTCCTTTTGTGTAAACTGATTTATGCTTGGTGAACAGGATAGATAAGTTTTATCAACATCGTCCTAGAGAGATACACAGCGAACTGATGACATTAGTTAATCCCCTTAAAGGCACTCTTCCACAGCGTAGCTCTGATATGTACAACAAGATATTGAACTGGTTAAGTGTAGCTGCTTGCACTTTTAACACAAGATTAGGGGACTGTTATATCATGTGAGAATATGTACACACTTGTTTTACTGAATAAGGTAGCTGATTAAGAGCATCTGAATTGGTCAGTGATTTAAGGTCTGCTGTAGAGCTCTCTGTTTCTGTAGAAGGGAGAAACTGTCAATCAATCAGAGTTCTGTAGGCAGGAAAAATAATGTTTTTTTTCTTTTTTCGTAGCTACATTCATGACAAATGGTTTCAAAAACTGCAGTGTAGCTGAGCTAAACACGTTTTTGAATTTGACCTGTCTTTAGCACTATTCTCACCAATGAACGGTCAGTACTGATAACATATTTCAATTTTTAAACATCACGATTAATCGTCAGTATCTCCATATGGCCAAACCCCTACTTAATATCATTGCATCTGAGGTTTTTCCCCACTGTCATCAACATTAAGAGGCACAAATAGTCACTGAGCATTTTGAAAAGTGAATCTATTTGATTCCTCAAGTAAATGAATTGTGCACAATAAAAAAACAACAATCAAAAGTTGTTATTTAAAGAGATGGAAGGGAGCAGATCAAAGCAGATCACAGCTGAAATGATTTCTCTTGTAGAGACATTGATCTCTGACTGACAATTCACTCTGATCAGTGAAGCACGAAACGTCCTTTTTGCCTGTACCTAATGTTCTGTATCACTGGTCCTGGTCACTCCTTTAGATATTGATGGAGCAGAAGAAAGCCGTCTGCAAATTTAAAAAATAAAAATCCTTTGAGTCTTCTCATCCCTACAACTTAGCATCTTAAAAGATGAACCACACAGCTTTCATCAACTTGTTTTCCATTTGCTGTTGCTGTTTGTGTGGATTTTCCTCAGGAGACCAGAGTCCCACTCCTAACAACATCTCTGCTTTCAAACCCTCTTCAAAAGCTAATGAAGCAAAGCGGAACACAGTCCTTTTTAAATGCTTCCCTACTCAGCTGTGTGACCAGTCATCTGCAGCACATTCATTCTGATCATGACATGACTGATGGCGACCTCTTGATTAACACATCATGTCCGACACCTCGTGCTGGTGATGTGCACAGCTGGCTGATGCATGCGGGACATTTCTCCTGCTGCCCTCTGCCTCTGGAGCTGTGCACACTCAGGAAATCCTGCATGTGCCACATCGGCTGTTCTGATGCCAGAGTCAGTCGGGCAAGCTAATCAGCATCACAGGAACACGATCATGCCCCCGGCTACTCTGCCTCGGCCAATGTTGGTAACCTTAAACTCCAAAGAATCTGAGCAGAGTGCTGGATTACGTTTATCTTCATGGGGATGAAATTGAGAGCGGAGGGAGCGAGGGCATGGAGAGTTTATGGAACAGCAGGAATAATGTGGGTGGACTAAAAATGATGTGCAGGTACAGCTTAACTAGTTTAAAAGTAAAGGTATCATCAACGCAGCATTTATAGCACATTTAACCTCTTTAATCCGTCCTAGTTTTGTGCAAAGAATCATTGTTCAAACCATGAAAGGTTATTTAAAATGGTAGTCAAGGAGTCAAGGGTTTGGATATTAAATAGGCAAATGTCATACAGATTTACATGGAAATCAGTAAGAGTAAAAAACATGCAAAAGACATGAGTTTTCTGATTCAAATTTCTCAAACATTTCCTTTATTTCTACAGTAATCTTGAGGCCTTGAAGAGCTTCCCTGTGTCAATACATCCAGTGTTAAGACCTTTTGCTAGCTGCCACCACTAGCAGCTCTGTCGATATGTCCTTCAACTAAAAAGTCACCAGCCATAGTTTTCGCCCAAGATGGTTGACTTGAAATTTGGCATGAAGGTCAAGTGTTTCTGCTGTTGTGTGTGTGTGGGGGAAAGCATGAACACATGGATGCATGCGTATGTGTGGTTGTAGTTCTGCAAATTCCCACTTGTTCTAATCTCGGTTTAATCCAATTACCACACAGTGTTCCATAGGTCAGTACACTCGTGTAGAAAAAAAGGCACAGATTGCTTGTGTAGTGGGGGGAATAGGGAGTTCAAAGGGGCTCATTTTTGCCCCGAGGCCCTCTGTTAATCTGACCAGGGAATTGAACAGTGTTTTGTACCTTTCATTGAACAGAACAAGACAATTCAAGGCATTTCCTTGGGCTTCAGGAAATTGTTTTCTAATTAGCATTTTCTGACCGTTGATAGATCAAATGATTAATCAAAAAAATAGTAGCAGATACATTTGTAGCAAAAAAAATTATTAATTGAGGTGGAATGTCTTTGTGTCGGGGTTGTACTGCTATTATTTTTTATTTATTGGAAAAGCATGGTTCAGTCATTACTTAATCTCTAAAATGCATTTCCAAATAAAAAGGTGACATTTTAGATTGGATTATTTCAACTGTGATGTTGCTGCTGAATTACTGGAACGAAACTACTGTAGATTAAAAGTGTAGAAGATTAAAAATGTAGGGTTCACATTTTGATATAGCCTACCGTAGATTAGCATAAACTAAATAAACAGAGTTGAGACACCTATCAGATGCCTGATCTGGGTCACTTTAAATTGAAAGTCTAGGGAACACATTAAGAATGAAGCTAAACTAATTTGAAGCTAAATTTAACCTGATTTGCCCTGAGGCCACGTGGGAGTCCTTCACTGACCCTCAGTAATCCACAGATCCCAGTTTAGCCACTACTGCCTGTAAGGTATAAACTCAACTGCAGCGATTTCGAACATTTCTTCCAACTTTATTGTTTAATTGAGTCATTCTATAGCGCATATCAGTGAGACTTATTGGCAAATTTTCCCCAAAACATTATAACACAAAAAAATTGTAATTTATCAGTTCAACAATAAACGTCTGTTCCACTTGTGCGATTGATTTGCAGCGTGACTATTCATAAGTGTGTGGGCTGCGTACAGACAAACAAAAAAGACGGTGAAGTAATGAAAGCAAGTAAGCAGAAATAAATGATTAGTGCAGGATCTAATCTCTCCTTTACTCGCTTTCTCCCTCCCTCCCCTCTCTCTCCTCTCCTCTCCTCTCCCTCTCCTCTCTCATTTACATTCAGTGTGTTGAAGCAGCAGCAGTGTTATATGTGGATCCTTGGCAGGAGGACAGAAGCAGAAAGCAGGAGATACATCCCATAGCAAACTGACTGAACAACATGGTGGTATTAAGAATCGTCCCTTGCCTGTGTCTGCTGGTGGGCTTCTCGCTCCAGGTGGACGAGAAAAGTGAGAAAGAAGCAGGGAAAGCCGGGAATTTCATGGAAGATGAGCAATGGCTGTCAACTATCTCCCAGTACGGGCGAAAGATCAAACACTGGAACCGCTTCAGAGACGTGAGTGGTGTGTTTACGGTCATGATACAGGCGTGTTTTTGTCGTAAAGGGTGCATGAGATGCTGTGTGTGGAGGTAACGCGGGTTGTTTTTTTTCTCAGGTGATTTTGCGCACAGTTGACAGTAACCCTGAAGTGCACACACACGCGATATTAGCAATTAGAGGTGCAAAAATACCCTAAACTAAAGGATTAAAATACCACTCAGGAAGGTGCGTTCAGAACGTTTGGCAAGGTGCATTGTTCTCTTTCCTACGTTCTACAATGTATTTTTTTATGGTTGAATTGATTTTTTTTTTTATGAATTGGAACTTATCATGTAAGAGTGATTGAAATATAAACCAAAAGGAAAATCTGTCACTTTCCAAGCGTTTCCAAGCTCCTTCTAGTTAACTGTGATATAGAACAGTGTTTGCAGTCATTGATCAATACCTTTTGATCTGCTATATTGCACATACAATGTTGGTCGACACCGAGGAGCTTTTAAGGCACACAGTAAGACATCAATTGTCACAAATACAAAGGAACAAACATGTTTTAATCTCCCCTGGATCTGTTTGTTCTTGGCTGTAAAGAGACAGCTTTGATAATGATGTTCACCCATGGCTATCCACCAGAAATAAACGGTGAATTAACTTATCAAATTACAATTTTTTTACCAATGACATAAGTACAGTTTGACAACATTTAAAAGGCACCTTAGCAGATAAACAACCAGATATTTGTTTTTGGTTTATCCACTAATTTAAATACCTGATCAGGGGTACATTTGCATGGAGATATTACAGGAAACCTTCCCTCGGTGTGAGGTGAGCCATTAACGGTTAACTGAGGAGTGATGATCTACTGATGTGCAGTCTTCCATTAAATGTTGGGGGGGGGGTTATGATGGGGATCTCGTTGTTTTAACTGAGGATTGAGGATGATAATGCCGGGATGTGCGCCAGGTGTTATGTCATGCTGTCTCTAATGTATGTTGTTTCATGTGAGCATATGTGAAGCGTTTAACCATATGCTTTACATTGGGTATGTGTATCAACTGCAAGGCAAATGCACAGTAGAGATCTGATTCAAGTGCGCTATTTTTTTCTAAATTTGTCTGTAAACCTCAGTGCGTGCAACTCATTAAACGAAGGAATGACATAAAGAAACTGAATTTTATATGATAATTGAGATGCATTTAAAGTTATGCATTTATCAGGGTCAGTATCGATTCTGATACTGATGCATTTTATGGATTGGTGCATCTGTGATTCTTGAATACATTTTCATCTCA